AAAAATCCTGTTCACGTGCCCAGAGTAGCTCAATGTTACTATGGTAACATTTTATTGCTTTGGTCACAGTGTGTTGAAAAAAAATAGTAAAAAAAAATAATAATGCAATAAAAAAAAAGAAAATTTTGAAAAAAAAATAAAAATTTGATTATTTTAATTTTTTTTTACATACTGTCACCAGTCAGTGTCCCTGATCACCCACCACACCAGTTATATAATCACACTGTACTGGACTGGTGACAACATGTAAAACAAAAATTGTGATTTTTTTTTTTTTTTTTTAATTCCTACATTTCCAAAAAATTGAAACAAAAGATTACAACCTCCACAAAACTCACCATGCCTCTTACTAAATACCTTGGACTGTCCATTTTCTAAAAATGGGTAATTTGATGGGGGTATTCATACTATGCTGGCATTTTCATGTCTCAAGAAATGAGATTGGCCGTCACTACATTGATTGATCGATTGTCAGATATATATACTGTACCATGGTTTGTGAACTCTATATCCTTCCTACAGACTAAATAATATACACTAATTTGGAGTATTTTCACCAAAGAAATGTAGCAGAATACATTTTGACCTAAATTTATGAAGAAATGTTATTTATTTGCAAAATTGTATAACAAAAACAAAGAAAAATGTTTTTTTTTTTTCAAAAGTTTCAGGTTTTTTTTTGTTTATTTAGCAAAAAATAAAAACTCAGTGGTGATTAAATACCACCAAAAGAAAGCTCTATTTGTGTGAAAAAAATTATATATTTTTTATGGGTACAGTGTTGCATGACCGAGCAATTGTCATTTAAAGTGCGACAACACTGAAAGCTAAAGATTGACTGGCCAGGAAGGGGGTAAAAGTATTGAAGTGGTTAAACACCCGTTTTTGCACCTGGAGTTCAGCTTTAAGGTTGGGACTATAACTGCAGGGATTGAAGCGTTAGGCTACAAGACAGGGTTTGCTTTTGGTGTCAAGAAATGGGATTAAAGGTGTGCAGTTCAATCTTTGTTAACGATCACCTCCAGGGAAACTATAAACATAGCACAGTTTAGAAAATTCTTTTCCAGACTTTGGCTTTCTCTGTTTTGACGAAATTGCTTCTTGTTTCATTATGTCCTTTCTAAAGCTGATTTCTGAATGGTAGGGTCAACCTTCACTATCCCCAACTGAGCAATCTCAGTGTTGAAAGAGAAAAGCTACACTGTCCGCATACCTTTAGGAAAGGATGATCCCTACAGAGCATCTCACAAAACTTCCATTGCATCGACCCTTATCTCAATTAAGCCTCCTGAAAAAAGAACAACACCGATCACAGGCAGGAGGTGAAACGTTCTGGGGGCATTACTAACAGTGTTCAAAATATGTCCATGTTGTCATATGGAAAGAAAGTAACTTTTTAATTTGTCAATTTTAGAAAATTATTATAATTAATAATTATAGCGCCAACAATTTGCACAGCACTTTACAACATGATGGCAGACAGTACAATTACAATACAATTTAATACAGGAGGAATCATTGGCCCTGCTCATTAGAGCTTACAATCTAAAAGGGAGGGTCAAGTGATACAAAAAGGTAATAACTGTTGGGGATGAGCTGAGGGAGCACAGTTAGGTGGGGGCAGGATAGGTTTCTCTAAAGACAAAAGTTTTCAGGGATCGCCTAAAGATGGACAGAGTAGGAGACAGACGGACAGATTGGGGTAGGGAATTCCATAGGATGGGAGGACTCAGGAGAAGTCCTGGAGGCAAACATGGGAGGAGGTGACAAGGTACCAGAGAGCAGGAGGTCTTCGAAGGAATGAAGAGAGCAATTTCATTGGTATTTTGAGACTAGGTTAGTGATGTAACTGGGTTATGGAGTGGCCTTTGAGACTAGGTTAGTGATGTAACTGGGTTGTGGAGTGGCCTTTGAGACTAGGTTAGTGATGTAGCTGGGTTGTGGATGTGGTCTTTGAGACTAGGTTAGTGATGTAGCTGGGTTGTGGAGGCTTTTGAGACTAGGTTAGTGATGTAGCTGGGTTGTGGAGAGGTTTTTGAGACTAGGTTAGTGATGTACCTGGGTTGTGGAGAGGTTTTTGAGACTAGGTTAGTGATGTAGCTGGGTTGTTGTGTGGCTGTTGAGACTAGGTTAGTGATGTAGCTGGGTTTTGGATGGCTTTTGAGACTAGGTTAGTGATGTAGCTGGGTTGTGGAGTGGCTTTTGAGACTAGGTTAGTGATGTAGCTGGGTTGTGGAGGGCTTTTGAGACTAGGTTAGTGATGTAGCTGGGTTGTGGATGGCTTTTGAGACTAGGTTAGTAATGTAGCTGGGTTGTGGATGGCTTTTTGAGACTAGGTTAGTGATGTAGCTGGGTTGTGGATGACTTTTGAGACTAGGTTAGTGGATGACTTTTGAGACTAGGTTAGTGATGTAGCTGGGTTGTGGAGTGGCTTTTGAGACTAGGTTAGTGATGTAGCTGGGTTTTGGATGGCTTTTGAGACTAGGTTAGTGATGTAGCTGGGTTGTGGATGGCTTTTGAGACTAGGTTAGTGATGTAGCTGGGTTTTGGATGGCTTTTGAGACTAGGTTAGTGATGTAGCTGGGTTGTGGATGGCTTTTGAGACTAGGTTAGTGATGTAGCTGGGTTGTGGATGGCTTTGAGACTAGGTTAATGATGTAGCTGGGTTGTGGATGGCTTTTGAGATAGGTTAGTGATGTAGCCAAGTTGTGGATGACTTTTGAGACTAGGTTAGTGATGTAGCTAGGTTGTGGAGTGGCCTTTGAGACTAGGTTAGTGATGTAGCCAGTTGTATATGGCTTTTGAGACTAGGTTAGTGATGTAGCTAGGTTGTGAGAGTGGCTTTTGAGACTAGGTTAGTGATGTAGCTGGGTTGGAGATGACTTTTGAGACTAGGTTAGTGATGTTGTAGAGTGGCTTTTGAGACTAGGTAGTGATGTTGTAGAGTGGCTTTTGAGACTAGGTAGTGATGTAGCATGGTTGTGGAGTGGCTTTTGAGACTAGGTTAGTGATGTAGCTGGGCTGTGGATGGCTTTGTAAGTTATTGTTAGAATTTGTAATTTAATTTGTTGGATGAGTGGCGGCCAGTGCAGGGATTGGTAGAGAGGGGTAGCAGATACTTAATGGTTGATAAGGTGGATGAGCCTGGCAGCAGCATTCATGATGGACTAAATTACAGCATCTGAAGATTTAGCCTAATGTCTTTACAGTAGAGTGATGGGCTTTACCAAAAAGCTGTAATTTTGTTTCATCTGTCCACCCAACATTCTCCCAAAAGGATTTTGGCTTCCTCAGGTGTGTTTTGGCAAACTCCAATCTGGCTTTTTATGTTTTTGTGTCAGCAGTGAGTCTCCATAGCATCCCCTTTCATTCAGATGGAGTCATATAGTGTGAGCTGACACAGTTGTACCCTGTGCCCGAAGGTCAGCTTGAATTTGTCTGGAAGGTGATCGACAGCAAAAAGCCAAATTTGACACATTCCTTGCAAACCTCCAAAAATGGACTGGACAAAATTATTGGCACCTTCTCAAAAATTGTAAGAAATAATTTAATTACAAGTTTGTGATGCTCCTTATAGTAAGTATTTCTTTAAGTAGAGGGGACATTTTGTTTTTGTTTTTTAATTATGTGGCTGTAGTTGGGCTTTAAATTACATCACTTGTGTTGCAAATGTATTTCCTATATCTTTTTTTTTAGCGCATGTAGATGGGCTTTAAATCTACAATAATACAAAGATTGCTGTAAGGAAAAAAATAAATCTGCACAGAACTCTACCGTACAGCAGGTCTATGGATTGTTAAAAAAAAAAAACTGTTTACTTGTTTTCAATATTGTCAGCACATTCTTCTTTAGAACGGTGATGTCAAGTTTACTTGAAGGAATCATGCCACACAGAAGTTGTGGTTTTTTAATATAAAGAATGTTAAGTGCATTGTTCTCCTTCCTTCAAATAAACTATGCCCTTTCTTCAGATGAGTCAAACAAGTGTGAGCCATTACTTCTTCTACATTGAGAAAATCAAGGTCAATATGTGCTGTGCTATAGTGCCTCCTAATGGTCAAAGAATATATTACAGTGCGCTCCTATTGAAAGCAAAACTGAATTCTAGGGGCTCATACATTTATAAAAGCAATGGTACAATGGTTATAAAGCCTAACCATTTTCTACCTTAATGCATTCCTTGCATTAAGGTAACAATTGCTTAGGCATCAGTATCCCTCCTAACCCCCTCCCCCCATTTTACTTACCTGAGCCCTCATTGGATCTAACGCTGTGCACATCTGAAGTTCTTCTTTAAAACAGTGTTTCTGATGTGGGCTACACAACACCTCTCCCTGTCCTTATCTACATAACATGGGGGGGGGGGTCTGTAGTCCACAGCGAGAACTTGAAGGGCTGATAACACAGCTTTAGGTGCAAGAATTGAGTGCTTTCACCAAACTCATAAGTGCCTGTTACTTTGAATGCCGAGAAACCTTGGGGTTAACTTAGTGCTAGAGTTTGAGGTTATAGAATAGGGCCATGTTCGGGGTTAGAGGTTAACCACTTGCCCTCAAGAGGATTTACCCCCTTCCTGACCTGACCATTTTTTGTGATACAGCGCTGCGTTACTTTAATTGACAACTGCGCGGTCATGCAACGCTGTACATAAATTTATGTCATTTGTTATCCCACAAATGGAGCTTTATTTTGGTGGTATTAGATCACCTGTGCGTTTATTTTTTGCACTATAAACAAAAAAATAGACCAACAAGTTTGAAAAAAACCCCAATATTTATGACTTTTTGCTATAAAACATATCCAGTAAAAAAAAAGTAACAATCAAAATTTTTCATAAATTTAGGCCAAAATGTATTCTGCTATATGTCTTTGCTAAAAAAAAATCCCAATAATTGTATATTAATTAGTTTACGTGAAAGTTATACAAATAGCGGTATAGATACTGGAATTTTTGCTTTGTATACTAGTAATGGCGGCGATCAGCATCTTATAGCGGGACTGCAGGACTGCGGTGGTCATTCTGACACTGGGGGGAACTGAATAACTGCCACTGACATCCCCAGTGCCACCAATACAATGATCAGTGCTAATAAAAAGCACTGACACTGTACTAATGACACTGGGCAGGAAGGGGTTAACATCTAGGGCAATCAAAGGGTTAACTGTGTGCTGTTTTACTTGGGAGACATGCTGCTTTGTATCTCTCTGCTGTGCAGAGAGATACAAAACAGCATGTCCATGCTCACAAGAGAGAGACATGTGTTGTTTACATACAGGTCTCTCTCCCGTCAGCTTTGCCAACGATCGCCAAGTGCCGGCTGGGAATCGCCAGCCGGGACCTGGTGATTGACTTCCCCAGCCGCCAATAGCGGCGCGGAAAAGGCGGTAAGCACGCGCCCCCTACTCGGAACTGCAAATCACATATATGTGTGTGTGTGTGTGATTATGCGCAGCCCTGCCGCCCTGTAGCAGTACTTCTGCTATAGGGCAGAGGGCAAGTGATTAAACCGAACTCTGGGATAAGTAATACTGTCTAAATACAGGAGTCTTCTTATGTGAATCTTTGTGCGCTTTGTATATTTCTTCCAGATCCACCCTTTTACTTTACCTGAGCCCTCATTCGATCCATCGCTGTGTACATCTGCAGTTCTTATCTCCCCTCAGTTTCAGGTTTCACAGGCTTTGCTGGGATACCAGGAGCCATTGGCTCCCACTGCTGTCAATCAAAGCCAGTGATGAGGGAGGTCTGAGTCTCACTGTCTGTGTCAATGGATGGAGATAGCAGGGCTAAGGAGTATGCACACACGAATGCCCCCCTAGAAAGCAGTTTCCTATTGGGGCACTGGACAGAAAGGAGGAGCCAGGAGCGCTGGCAACGGGCCCAAAAACAGGAGGATCTGTTTCATTGCGCAGAGCAGGTAAGTATGAACCTGTTTGTTATTTTTTTTAAAATAAGTTTACAACCATTTTAGTTGTTAAATTTTATAAGATTTTTTTTTTTTATTGGTAGAGACATAAAGGTAAAAGTACTATGTATCTTCAGTGAGTATTAACCGTAAAAAAAACTCTTATGTGAGTAACTTCCAACATTTTATTTCCTTAAATGTTCTATGTGGCTATAGAGTGATTACTTGCTTATTATAAAATATCATAAATGTTAATATTTCTTTAGTATGTCATTTCGAATACCACTTTTTTTTTTTTTTTTGTATATGGAAACATGTTGCCAGTTTCTTGAAACATTCTCTGATAGTCTCTTGTAACCTATCTAACCTATTTTCATTCTCTGACCTTGTTAACAGCCCTTCTAGTGGTTTCCTGGGACAGAGGCGCACCTTCCAGCAATCCTGTTGAAATGTCAAAGCAAAAATGCAAACTCACCAGCACTCCAAAGGAATGTGTTTTCTGTGTTTATTGTAAAGATCGAGCCACACAAAATGACATTTCGGGGCCTTACAGGCTGATCACCTGCAAGTGATGGAGCCAGGACACTTTACATCTTTAGTCCATCACTTTCAGGTGATCGCTGCATAGCAGATACATGAAAACGGCTGAGATTGGCTGCAGGAACCAGCAGCCTCCCATTGTTTTCAATGGAGTTACCTCCTACAGCTAATCACTGGGACCCTCTGCTGGGGTTCACATGAGAAATGCTCAGGCCAATTTGCAAGTGTGAATTTGGACTTACCCGTAAACACCATGTATTGTCACTGGTGGCAGTAGAAGAGGAGCAGTAAGGGAGCACTGGCAGGGCGACTAAAATTGGTTGGTCCCCTCTGGAAAAACAATGTCATTTTGCCAGGAATTTGCAAGGCGACAACGTTTGCTCTGCCCCACTTATATGTATTTTTCTGTGTTGTATTGAACTGTATCGGGTTGCCTTTGTTTGAAATATGCTAACATCTAGTTGCACATTTGAGCCACTACAACTTGTTTACTTGTGATTTGGTATCTCCCTCTGGCCTCCTCTCCCCACCGTTAAGTGCTACTTACTTCACTCCTAGCTAGACTGTTCCTGTTTCCTCCATGTTTTCTCAGTCAATGTTAATTCTTCACAGAGTCAGAGCTAAGGAAAGTCATAGGGGTGAATTTATTAAAGGCAAATGGCCTGTGCACTTTGCAATTGCATTTGCACTCTGTCAATGTGGTACATCTCATCATCCAATCATGTGCAAGAAATATGCTGTTTTTTATTTTCCTTGCACCTGATTGGGTATTCTTTACAAAGAGAAGCTTTTATCACAAGGAAAATGAGTGCAGCTGCACTTGAAAACTGCACAGTATATTTACCTTTAGTGTCTTTATGTCTACCCATTATCTTCTAGCACCGCAAAAGACTTGAAAAAGATCCTGTTAGAAATTCTGTATATAGCCCTACAGAATACAGTGCTCAGTTCACGTGTTCTTTTCTGCTTCTCTATGACAAGGAAACAGGAAACTTTATTCAGGGGAAAAAAAAGAGTATTCCATAGATACAGCTACAGACTTATAAACACTGCCACCTACTGGTTAAAAAATGTATCTTTCCTGAATACTGAAGTGATTGTTGCAGAAAATACATGAATACTGTATTCCAACAGATCCTTTGTACAGCTAACAGCTGAAGTAAAATTGCACTGGATTCAAGTTCTGTTTCACATTTAAGAGTTAAGCTGCCTGTGGATGGTGCGAAGTCAGCAGGTGACCATACTGTCCAGGCAGACTGAGTCTAAGGAGGTATAGTATGTTAATACATACAGCGGCAAATAAAGCATTGGAGGTTATTCACTAAAACTAAAGAATGCAACCTCTGATGCCACTCTGCCTAGAAACCAATCACCTTTCAGGTTTTATTGCGAAAGCTTAAACATAGAAACATAGAAAAATGATGGCAGAAAAAGACCGAGTGGTCAATTGAGACTGCCCATTTTTTTTTTTTTTTTTAATGCGTGTGTTTTTGTTTTGTTTTGTTTTTGTTTTTTTTTGGGGGGGGGTTGTTTTTTTTTTTTTTTTTTTGTTAACTTTTTTGTCTAAGAGAGAATAGATCTATGTTTGTCCCAAGTATGTTTGAAGCTATTTACTGTTGATCAGCTTAAAGTGGTTTTAAACCTCAAACATAAAAATATGAACAGAGCATATCCCTCTATAGTGTGTATTTGTCCCAAGTAAGAGCAGGTTCTCTCTGCTGCCTTGTTCCTCTGCTGTCAGCATGAATCACTCCTGACAAGTTTTCCTGACACCAAGAGAAAAAACGGTGACAGGGGAAGGACCTCCAGCAGAGTGACAGCATCGGCTTTGTTCCTGTGAGCTGTGTGGAGGCGGATGTTTCCCTTCCCTTCAATCAGCTTTCACAGCTCTACTCACTGTGATCTGCAGTGTGTATTTCAGCTCTCTGCCCCTTTTCTTCTGAACTCTCAGACAAGCTTTATAAATTCAGCACCTTGAATGGATGTAGAGGAAATAGTAATGCAGATAAACAGGTACACCTTACGTAGGAGGATTTGCTGCATCTCTGTGTATCAGCTAAGGCCAGTCACTTCACTGGGTATATGGAAGGGTTTACAACCACATTAATAGAACAAGCTGAAGTTAGGTGCTGATTGGCTCCCATGCACTGCTGCTCTCAGATTTTGAGTGCACCAGTGTTAGTAAATATCCCCCAATGTCTCTTTAATGCCCACCTACTTTCATGCACAGCATTATGTTCCACTTACCTGTCTCGTGTTACTATTTAATAAAGTTGGGAGGTAAAAAAGTCAAAGAAAGTCAGACACAATGCAATAACATGAGTACTGAAATCAAAAAATGAGATACCATTTCACCAAGAATAAGAAGTGGTGGGAAATCTTTCCAATAGGAACAGAGACATAAACTAACAAAATGTGTGCGTAAAGCCAGGGCCGTGGATAAGGGGGTACCCCGGTCCTCATGTATGGGGCCCAGGCCAGCATGGGGGCCCAGGCAGCTGGGTGAATTGAATGTGGGCAGGGAAGGTGATTGGTATGGTAAATACTGGAACTGATCCCTCTGCAGTAGCTGAAAGATGGCTTCTTCTCCTCTCCCTCCCGCTGGCTTTCAGCTGCTGCAGAGAGAGAGCCGTACAGGGGATCAGTTCCAGTAATTGCCCCTCCACCGCACCCATCACCCTGCCTGTGCTTTATACGTTTCCCCCTGCTGCCCAGGCCCCCTGTGTGCCCCCACCCCCACAGTGCTAGCAGCTTTCTTCTCCTTTCAGCTGCTGAAGAGAGAGCCATATAGGGGATCGGTTCCAGTAATTGCCCCTCCGCCACACGCATCACCCTGCCTGTGCTTTATACGTTCCCCCCTGTTGCCCAGGCCCTCTGTGTGCCCCCACCCCCACAGTGCTACCAGCTTCATTCCTCTCCTTTCAGCTGCTGCAGAAAGAGTCATATAGGGGATCGGTTCCAGTAATTGCCCCTCTGCCGCACCCATCACCCTGCCTGTGCTTTATACGTTTCCCCCATGTGCCCAGCCCCCCTGTGTGCCCCCCCGCAGTTCTGAAAGCTTCCTTCTTCTCCTTTCAGTGGCTGCAAGCACACAATAAGATCTTTCAGAACTGTTTTTTTGGAAGGGGGGGGGCTTGTCAGGTTGTCTGTGTGGGGCCCCGTGGTTTCTAACAGCAGCCCTACGTAAGGAAAATACATCTGAAAAGCGAACCACAGCAGACCGAGAGGTGGCAAGGGCTGCTGCACATCAAACAAGAAGAGAGGCACAATCTCCCCAATGTAATCGTAGACAGAGCTAAAAATTTTGACATATAGACCTCATGTACACTGGATGTTGGCCCAGCTCCTCTAAATACCTTTCTCCTGGCAGGAAAAAGGCAGCTTAAAAAATGCATCTAAAGCCGCATTTTGCAAATGTGTTTAGGCACATCATGTGATTGGCTGTTCCTTTATTCTGGCCATTGGAACGAATGAACTTTAAAGCGCCAAACACACCTAGCATTTAGACATGTTTAGATGCATTTACGTACAGTTTAGGAACATCAAGCATTTTTTTCTGCTCAAATGCTCTTCTCCTGAATGTGCAAGTGTTTTTCTTTTTTTTAGCCTCTAAATATCCCTCTTCTAAATGTGGATGACATAGAGGAACATTTAGAGGCTCAGTGTGCATAAGGCCATATACAGTAATAACTCTTCCACACTCTTGACAATACAACTTTTTAATTGATTTAGGCTTTAAAGCGATATTAAACCCAAAAT